CGGCCGCTGCCCCCCCGGCGGAGAGGGCCCCGGCCGCGACCCCCTGCGCGCCCCCGGCAAAGGTAAGCGCCGGGGTCGGGACCCCCTGCGCGTCCCCGCCGCTGGATCTCCCCTGGAAGCTGGTCAGGTCCCTTTGCTGCCCCCACCCGCGATGAATCCACCAATAGCCCCCACTCTTGGGTACCCTGGTGGGGCGCTCCCCAGCTGCCCTGCATTGCACCAAGCCCCTCTCCCCATCCCTAAGTCAGGGCTGGCAGTCGGTGCCCTCCTCATCCCATCATCCACCCCACAGCAGAGGGGGATAGAGGAGACCAGGCTAATCTGGGGGAATTAGGGATTTCCCCCAAGATGCATGAAAACCCACACCAGGGGAGCAACAGCAGCTGCAGGGCGTCCCCATCAACAGGTCAGGAACGTGCCCTGCTGCAATGCCTGACGGAGGCATTGGTGTTTTGGGGGACAGTGGTCTGGCCTGGAGCCCCCCTAGGGCAGGCACTGTGGTGAGGGAGGCTGGCTGAGCCCCTGCTCATGCAGCACCTGGCCCCGCCGCAGCCCCCCGCTGGGACCCCCAGCCCCTCACCTACCAGGAGCTGCAGTCGGAGAGGACGGAGGTTCCCGCATCCCAGCTGCTGGAGGAGACCGCGCTCGCCCGCCCGGGGAACGAGGACTCGGGTACAGCCACGGCCCCAAGCTCTGCTGCTCACAAATCCTGCCTGGCCCTCCCGAGGGGCTTGCAGGGCGCTGCCAAAAAGTAACCCCATTCTCTCCTCTCCTGTCCCCGAGCAGGCTGCGGAGAGCTGGTGTGGGTGGGGGAGCCCGTCGTCTTCGGCCGGGCAGAGTCCATCGCCGGCAAGTACGGCGTGTGGATGAAGGACCCCGAGCCCGTGTCCCCCTTCACGCGGGAAACCACCTGGCGCGTGGACACGGTGGGCACGGAGGTCCGTCAGCTCTTGCAGTACGAGGCGGCTGAGCAGCTGGCCCGGGGCTACCCCGCCAAGGTGCACATCCTGCCACGGCCCCTGGAGAGCACGGGAGCCGTTGTCTACCGTGGTGGGCTCTTCTTCCAGCCCCGCCGCTCCCGTGTCGTGGCCCGCTATGACCTGCAGGTAGAGGCCATCACGGCCCAGAGGGAGATCCCCGGTGCTGGCTACCATGGGCAGTACCCCTACTCCTGGGGGGGCTACACTGACATAGACCTGGCGGTGGATGAGACAGGGCTCTGGGTGATCTATAGCACCGAGAAGGCCAGGGGGGCAATTGTCCTCTCCAAGCTGGACCCCAAGACTCTGGAGATCCAGCGGACCTGGGAAACCAACATCCGCAAACGAGGGGTAGCCAACTCCTTCATCATCTGTGGCACCCTCTACACAGTCAGCAGCTACTCAGCACCCAATGCCACCATCAACTTTGCCTATGACACGGCCACCGGCACCAGCCGGGCCCTCAGCATCCCCTTCGAGAACCGCTTCCGTTACCTCAGCATGGTGGACTACAACCCTGCTGAGCAGCAGCTCTTCGCCTGGGATAGCTTCAACATGGTCACCTACCCCATCCGCCTCTCCCGGGAGTGAGCCGGGGCTGGGGCTGCTCAGCCCCTGTGACCCCCATGCGTGCCTTGGCACCCCGCTTTGCTCCCTAGCTACCCCAGCATGGCCGGGGGCACCGGCTCAGACAGCCCTGGGTGATGGTGGGGGCCACACACTAATCAGCTGCACCACGATGGGACCCCCCCAGTGTCCCCAGTGGCACATCAGGCAACATCCTGTTGTGCTCGAGTGCAGAAATGAAGTGCTGACCCCCCTGGCAGCAGCAGATGTGGGGAGGCCTCTCCAGCTTGGGCCAGCCTTGCTGAGGAGAGCAGCCAACAGCAGCCCTGCTGAGAGCCTGCAAAGCCCAATGCATCCCACACTGTTGGTGCCCTGGGGGGGATCCCAGAGCTCAGTTGCCTCCAAAGTTCATCCAGCAGGATCAAAAGCAGCAGGGAACATGGACGCTCATTCCATAAGCCTTGTTTTTTTTGGGGGGGGGGGGGGAAAAGAAGCCAAGAGAGCAGTGGTGAGGGCTGGCAGAGCATCCCCACACCCCATGGTGTGCCCAGCCCCTCTCAGGCACATGCTTTGGCTCCCTGGGCTGTGCCCAGCCACCAGCATGGCAGCTACAGCCTCGTCTGGCCAGCAGCACACCCCATGCAGGGCCAAAAATGTGCCATTTTAACTATTTATTTTAGATGGTTTGTAGGAGGCTTTTTCTTCCCCCTCCCTGGCATTCAGGGCAGCAGCAGCCACATCCCCCAGGGGATGTGCAGGGTCCCAGCCCAATAAATGTTGCCCACCACTGCCTTGCACCTCATCTTTCCCAGCCTGAAGTCTCCTGTGGGTTTGGTGGGTAAACCTGGAGGGGGGGATAAACCCCACCTTGATGCACTGACAGCACTGAAGGTGCTGCAGGAGGGAACTGCAAAGCCACATTTGGGAGGCAGCTGCAGGCAGGCCCATACCAGGAGCACTTTTATTTAGTGTGAAGAGGAGCTGCGACATGCCCCAAATACTGGATTGGAATAGAAGTGAAAGCTTGAGCATTAGACCCTGGAAATTTGCCAAATGGGAAGGAATAACAAGCTCCTGGTGGCAGGGCTATGGGTTGGGCTGGCCAGTGCTGGGAGCAGTGTAGGGTGGGAGGGATGGGGGGATGGAGGCAGCCCCCCCTTTGCTGCACTGAGGGGATGGCACTGCTTGGAGTTGGGAGGCCACAGGGATGGGCAGGGCTGTAAAGCTGGGGGTGAAGGAAGCTCTGGGAGTCACCCAGGAGCAGGGGGCTGTCACGTACACACCAGCACTGGGAAGATGGAGGCAGGGCAAACCACTGACCTGACCCAGCCAGGGGCAAAGCAGCTGCCCGCGCAGTACACAGAAAACCTGCTGCCAAGGATGGGAGAACAGGAGTTCTGTCCCAAAAAAGTGGGCAAGGCTGGAGCCCTCCTTTTCCCCACAGCTCCCCAGAGGCATGGGTCAAACTCCAGCATGACTGGGAGGGTTTGTTCAGGGGTCCCTGGAGAGCAGCAGCAGCAAAGACTCCTCAGAGAGCAGAGGCACTGAGGGCAGACAGTCCCAGCCCTTCCCACATCCCTGCTGTCTGCCAGTACCAGGGTCTTTCCAGGCTGGGAAGCCCATCATTTAATTGCCTAAGAAAATAAATGAAGACAAGCCAATGTACACAGGGTTTTCAGAAAGCTGGGCTAGAGCTGAGCAGCACCAAATACTCAGCTTGACTTCTCAGGCTTTGCAAAAACAAGCCCATAGAGTCCCTCCCTTCTTGCATCCCAGCAAGGGGTCAGGGGAAACTGGATCTGGCCCCAGTCACATTTAACCCCATTCTGCTCTTGCCCTGGAGAAATGTTACTGCCTTTGCACAGACTGAACATTATTAAGAAAAACAAGTGAATTCCGCAAACAAAATAGTTCTCTAAATTATAGGAGGTTCAACACAGTTATTTGTGATGACTAGAGTCCTAGAAAAGAGATTACACACCAAATCCCACTCTAATAAAAAAAGTAAGATCTATTCCAGCGTAAATGGCCAGGAGCAAGTTATCTGGTGAAATGTCATACAAATATTCAATGAACTGGGGTCAGTGACTGAAAGCTAAACCTGGCCTCAAGGCAGCAGAGGGGGTTGGAGGCTGTTTTAGGGAGACACGCATCCAGAGCAGGTTATTCAGATGCACTAAATGCTCAAGCATTTGCTTTTAATTAATTTTCTGCAGAAACATTATCTTTGTTCATCTCAGCGCAAGAAATAGCTGAAAGCTCGGTACATTCCCACAGCCGACTGTGGGAAACTCATCTGACTTTTCTAGTGGCTTTAGTGGAGAATTTAAATTAATCCTTTCAGCAGCATTTCCTTAAAAATACAATTGTCTGGTAAATGGTTCCACATTTTTAGGGGGTCTTTCCAATAGGAATCAGGCAGAAGACAGCCTCAAAACAGAAACACCAGCAAAACTCTGACTCTTTTGCAGCACATTTATAGAGCAGACCATTGTGTCTGCCTTCACTTGATTCCTCTACCTTCATCCTCCTTTCCCTGAGCATTTGCTGCAGCTGTGCTTGTTCAGTTCCTGTAAAAAAAGACAGTTAATCCATGGTGTTCCCTACTCAGAGGTTACTTCTGCCCATCCTCCCTGTGGGTTACAGAACCTTCATTTACACCATAGTGCTACTGGTCTAACCCCTAAAAGAATCGACCATGGCAGGAGAGGACTCCAGCTCCTCTGGTGCCCCCAGACCAGCACTTCCCACTCAGCCAGGCACAGGCAGCTCTGCCTGCTCTGGCCCACCACGGGGCTGGCAGCAACACCCCTGCCCAAAGGCAGGTCTGATGGCTCCCACTGGTGCTTGCAGAGCCACCCTGACACCTGTGACTCGATTTCCCTTCTTGGCTTTCCTTGGAGGTGAAATGCACACCAGCACCTTCTCCCGAGGCAGGAATTCCTACTCAAGAGACCAAATATGACCTGGTTTCTGCTGTTTGTTGTGAACCTAGAGTTCCCTCTGGTGGCCAGCTGACCTCATCCTGCTGCTTCATCACCCCACGGTGGTAGGGGAGGGTGCCCAGGTAGCTGAGGATGCCTTCACACCTGCAACTGGTGGGTGCTTCACCCTTCATCCTGCCTTCTGCTTGAGGGCATGAGTTAGTAATTGTGGAATTTGAGTGTCTGACAGGAGCGTGAGTTGCTGGCACTGGATTGGGAAGGGAACAGCCTGGGAGTAGCACAGGAAGGAAGGCTCCCATGTCCTTGGGAAGTCTCACACCAAGCCTCACTCCTGCAGAAAACCCAGTGCTTTGAACAGCCCCTTGCTATCAAGGTGCCCGTGCAGTCAGTGCCTGTAGTCACCCACTGGTTAAAACCAGAGTAATGGGCTGGGTTCCTCCAGGTCTCCTCCGACCAGCAGCTCTTCTCTAGGAAGCCAAACACATGCCTCAGCTCACCAACATGCTGGAGATGTGACATCTTCCAAATGCAGCCAACACCCTCCTTCCAGGGCAGGTGGGAGCCATGTCCTGCGAGACCTTCGCTGGAGAACGAGATCAGAAGTGCTGGGGAAACAGAAACAAGCTGTTTCAAACAGGTTTTCTTTAGAAGTCTGGGTATGCTACACACTCTTCACTTGGGCACACAATGTTCAGATGCTCTCCCTTGCATCCTGCAGCACTTTGCTAATCATGAGATTACCCAGATACTTTATTTAGAGAATACTTTATTAGTTTCTGTAATCAAACCCATGTAAATAAGACCGTACATATTTAATACAGTGCGTTACCCCTGTACAAATGGAAAAAAAAAATTAAGTTTAACATTTCTAGACCAATATGGCTGTTAATTTCTGTACAATGCCAACTCACACTACAAGTGGGATACTTTTTTCCAAAGTTGACATCACAGCTAAAGTTTCCAAAAGTTCAAATTATATATATATTTATATAAAAAGATAACCAATAGCGATTCACTAGGCATCAATAGCAGCAATAGCCTTTCCAGCTTCTGCAGTCATTGAACAAAATTATACACATTAGACTTTCAACTCACTCTTCCTTTTCAAAAAAAATGTAAAAAAAAAAAAAAAAATCCCAGAAAAAACCAGCAAATTCTGCTACTGATGTGGTACCTGGTGCTTTTTATTAGCTTTTTTCAATCATTGTCTGGAAAAAAACCTCTAGAATAACATTATTAAAAACAGCTCCAGTATAGCACAGTCACTACTACATATCATAAGCAGGTACAGGATATCTTACATTCACAGAAGTATCATACAGTACTGTCCTACAGCTATAATACTAGAAGATACAATTAAAAAGGCATTTATTTGACTTGATTCTACTTTCCAGCACACTGTGGGCAAGGAGGTGGTGCGACGCAGCTCTGATAGAAAGAATGCACCTTTTAGATAAAACTCTCATTCATCTGATAAGGTTTCTTTTATTCTCGTGGCACAAGCTCCAAGTGCTCGTTGCTGTATTACAGACATAAGCTGGAAACCGTTTAAAGATCACTCGCATCATATAAAGATAGCTGGACAGAGGTGAACAGAACAAATCTGACTATTGATGCAATGAACCCTTTCGACTTCAGAGGGGAACAACGGAGGGGTGAGTGGGTGTAGAGAACACAAGTGGCCAAGTAGCATTTTCATAAGGTGATCTAAATACAGTATACTGTAATCCAAGAAGCAGCAGCCAGCAAAGCACTGCCTTCAGAGGGAAATTCAACATTGTCAGCATTACTCTGTGTTATGGTAGGTGTCACATGGCAAAGGCAATTTTGCCAGCTACATGAATCCCTCTGGTTTATCACAAGATAGCACAAAAAAATTAACACACATTACTTGGCCCAGCACCATCTTCAGATCTGCATGTTCTCATACTCATGGGTTTATAAAAAGATAAATAGCAGCTGAAGATCAGAGCCTGAAGAAAACAAAGAGTATTCATCGTGTCAGCCTAGGAACATGCTTCCCTGACCACCTTCTTTCCCCGCCGTTGCTATTTCTCAATTTTTTTCCTGTTGGGAAGC